GGTCTGGTACTTAACATTCTAAGTATTTTTAATCAATTTATTTGAAATAATCACCAGTAGTCTTTAAAGGGAACTGTTGTGACCAGAAAAGTCAAGTGACTTGATGTGTAATTTATGCGGATTTCCCAGTATATCCTTTAGAGTTTGCCAATATGTTCAGCGATTAAACACATTAGGTCAAAATAGGTATTCTATCTCTTTGATACTGAAATAGTTTACCCATGAATCAAACTAAGTGTTGCTATTAATCATCGTATTAACTGCTGAGTTAAAAGCTCTAGTTCCATCACATGGCTGCCAGAAAGAGGCTTCAGGACACCAATGTGTTTACTATCAGTCTTTAGTTAAAACAGGGCCAGATGACAGACTCGACAGACTCATGCTTTGGTTTCCTTGGTTTTGACCTATTGAGACAACACATTTTCCCATTTTAAAAGTATTTTTGTTCTTAGACTATTGTGTATGGTTTGAGGCTTTTTTTTTTTTGAAAAGTGAGTCTATGTTCTATAAGTCTGATATTCCTGTGAGCTTTGGCAGAGACCAAGAATAGCTAAAGTTTAATAGAATGGATTCTTTTTTTATAGTAATAGGGATCAAACCCAGGGCGTTCCACATGCTAGGTAAGTGCTCTACCACTGAGCTATATCCTCAGCCCTTTTTTTTTAACTTTTATTAAAATTATAAAACAGTCTCATCAAGTTTCCCAAGCAGGACTAACTCTACATCTCCACTGAACCTTGAATGTTTTTGATATTTGTGAATTATTTTAAGTATCCTTGCTATGTGTTTATTAAATTTGCGTCGGTGTGTGTGTTTTATGAGGGATGCATGCATACTGTCTGTGCTGATGTGTGCTCCTCTTTGCGTGTGTAGGCCAGAGGAGGACACTGGGTATCTTGCTGTATTCTCTGCCTTCTCCCCTTGAAACAGGGTCTTCCACGGAGCCTGGAGCTAGCCCCGAGCCCCAGCCATCTTCCAGTCCCCATCTCCCACGGCACTGGAGTTACAATAGTGTGCAGCCCCACCTGGCTTTTTACAAGAGTTCTGGAGATGATTTTAATGTCCCCATGCTTGCATAGCAAGCATCCTAAACCATTGATCCATTTCCTCAGCACCTAGCTGTGAACTTTTGACTCTCTTGCCTCTGCTCCTCTACTGTCTGGAAATAGAGGTCTGTGTTACTAGGCCTGGCTTTTAAAAGGTGTATGTGTGTGTGTGTGTGTGTGTGTGTGTGTGTGTGTGTGTGTGTGCCCACCCACAGAGGCTAGAAGAGAGACCCCCCCTGGAACTAGAGTCACAGGCAGCAGTGAGCCATCTGCCATGGGCACTGGGAACCAAACTTGAGTCCCCTGAGAGGTAAGTGCTCTTAACAACTGAGCCATCTCTCCAGCCCCAAGAATTTCCAAATTTTTAATTAAAATGTTAACAAAAAAGCTTTTCAAGGCCAAAATAGCTGAAAAACGTATTTTATCTGCATGTGTTTGAAAGTAAAATATCTTCAGCACCAATGAGCAAACACTATTTATCCAAATTATTTAGAAGAGCAATGAAAACCAGAAGAAATGAAGCATTGACCCACCTTTTGGAGATACTTTGCTTTCTCTTCAGATTCTTGAATCTTTTGGGCTTTAGCAAAGAAATTCATCTCCTCTAGAGTAAATAAAGTCAAATTTAATCTGAAATAACTTTATCATGATTCTTATAGTATTGGCATAAAATTGGGTATGGATTAATAGAGCAGGAGGGGACACAAATATATACTGTCTTGAAACTTTATAGTCAGGTTCATAAATAGCAGGAGACTGAATTAATTATCTATGCCGTTGGGAATCCTTTAATCCCTTTAGACGGTGAGTTAGCATGAGTAGAGGCAAGAACCAGTCTCTAGAGAGGAAGTGCCTGTGGCATCACAGATGCTAATCTACATTTCTAGTCACATGTTACAGGAAGTTATCTTCTGGGTGAATGCTGTGGGCCCCGAGGCAAGATGTGGGGTATACAACTTAGTTATACTTCAGTGTAAATGTTTACATTTCTAAAAGTCCTAGGGACAGTCTGGGGAGTCCACTGATTGAAGGGTATTAAAACCTGGTACTTACTGTTATGATGAAAGGGGAAGGCCCGGGCAGGACTCTTCTCTAAGAAATACAAATGGAAAGTAAGTTATTGGAGAAGCAGACAACATTAAAGATATTTTAATTTTCTAAACCTATTAATATTGAATAAGAACACTTTATGCATCCTTGGCCAAAGGCTTGTCTGTCAGGGAACGTGGTTCCTAAATTTGATTCTGCCTCCAACTTTTTCTCAGGCTTTCAAGTTTGAACTCCATCTTATGTAAATGCTTTCCTAATGTCTTTTTAGCCAATACACATTTTCTTAGATTAACCCATCCTACTTGCCAAATAGAAGCCCTCATTTAAGGGACTCTTAGGATGTATTTTTATATGTAACAATGATACCGTCTTTGCGGTGGAGAATTGCAGCAGTTTCAAAACTATTTGTGTATATATTTGCATATACCTATTACCGCTTGTTTGGATCTCCCAGACAGTTGATTCTTTTACAATTAGGCTGAGCAGTTTCTCCTTTGAGGAGGCAACCTTACTACTTACTCACCCGTCACATGGGCTTTAGAATGCCTCGCTACCGGTAGCCTCTGACGGCTGTCTCTGGTCAGCACCAGCTGAGATTCGGTAGGGGGATACATGGACGCCCCGAGCCAAAACTGCTTAGCCAAGTTGGCATCCTGCTCGGAACAGCCGGTGAACACCAGTAATCCAGGGGAGCAGATTTCGTGGGATTCCTTCCCGCTAGGACTGCTTCTGGACCCCGTTTCCATGGTGACTCAGGACGCTTCCCTTAGCTCCCTTGCCCCGCCCCCACCGGAGAACCGTCCAGTTGGTAACGGTCACCACACAGGAAGGCCCGAGTTTCTTCCTTAGGATCCGAGGTTCCTCGAGCGCTTGTGGCCCATCTGCAGCTGGCTTCTGTCGCAAGGTCACAGCTTTCGGGGCTACAGTCAAGCCTTGGAGTCAAAGCCTCAACTTTGTGATGTGTACAGTCCTGGAGTCAGTGGAGAGCAGTTAAGTCTCTTAGATCCTAAATCAGCGTCCCCTCCCCCAAATAGCTGAATAAAATGAACTTAAAGAGCTCCTCTGTTGGACAAGATTGCCAAGGCTCAGCACCCCCAACCCGCGGTCTGCGTTGATACATCAAGGCGGCATAATGTGTCCTAGATCAGAACTGGGCCGAGAGGAACCCACGGATACAGTTTTTGTGTTTTAAAAAAGCTTCCCAAATCTTTTATTATAAATCTTAGGAAACAAGCTGGGTTTAAATTGTATTCACTAATTATTAACGCCAAAAGTTGCCTAGAGTGCAACCGTTATAAAAAACAAAACCAAAAAACTAGTAAAGCCGGTGGAGTCCTCCCCTCAAACCCCGTGAAAAATTATGAAAACGTTTTTAATGTATCCTTACAAACAGGTTTATAATCATGTGTGATTATAGGAATTGACCATTTAATTACTTTAGGGATTGACAGGAGCTGAGGTGGGCATCCTAAAGCCAGTTTTGGAAAGGCAATGGACACACGATAATATTGATAGCTGACATTTTTTTTGTGGCACTTTATTTTTCAGAGTGTTAATAATATAGAGTCAGGCAAAGTCCAAAGATTTATAATCACAAATCAATATAATGACCACATCAGCTAAGGGATAATTTCTATTTTCCAATGTATTTAAAAATCGCTGAAAAGTACCGCCCCCCCTCCCCAAATATAGCACATATTGTATACCCAGCAGCTAAGTGGTAGTTTTTCTTTTGCCTAAAACACTTAGTAGATAATAGATGGTATGTGAGCATTTCCCTAGGGCCCTGTCCTTAGCAAATTGACGATGCACAGGAGGCTCAGTCGGAGGACTCTCAGTCTTTTTACCTGGCCGTGTGGTTAGTGATTGGTACTATTAGCAATCAGCTAACTACACTGCCTAGTAACTAGACTCATAGAAAAGCCAGCAGTCTGTTAAGTTGGTGCTCTCAGACGTTGGTTGTGACCAGCAAATCATCAGCCAAGCTGTGGTTGACTATAGTCGCTGCCTTGGTGATAGCTTTCTCAGAAGTGGAAAACAGGCAGTGAATCACAGCACACAGCAGGAACTGTTCTGGGGGGCTCCTCCAGGCATTTTTTTTTTTTTTAAATGATAAGGCCGGTGTACACCGATTCTCTTTGCATATCACTGAACCGTTTTTGCTTTGGCTCCTAGACACAGGTAGCCGAACGGTCCCTAAAGGAGGCCGCTGGTCTCCCAGGGAGGGTTACTTGCACTACGACCTCGTGCTCGGGGGCCCCTTCGCTGACGCATCCCGGCTCCGGCCTCCGCTTTCTGCAGAGTCAGCGGGGCTGCGGCCGCCTGCTTCTCCTCCAGCGGGCGGCGGGTGATGCTGTGCCTTGTTTTGATGGCAGTGGAGTTAGTGATTGTCAGCACCGCGGTACAATCAGCTAATTACACTGCCTACAAACCGAGCACCGGGCGTCCGCCGCTGCCGCTCCCGAGGGTCCGGCCCCTCGCCCCCTTTTCGCCACGGCCGACAGCCGAGGGTGGCGGAGCGAGAGAAGATGCTCCAGGCTCCCGGGGCCCCTCCACACCCCGCAGGGCCGCACGCGACCCCAGGTGACCCCCGGGCGCCGGGCCCCCTGTCCCCGCCGTCCCCCCCAGACCCTCCCGCTCCGCCCCCGGTCCCTTGGGCATCGGGACAGACTCCTGCTCCCCTCACGCCGGGTCTGACCCGCCTCCGACAACTTCTCCTCGGCTTCCAGCCTCAACTCTTACAGCAGGCTCTGTCCACCCCGCGCGCCCGGCAGCTCCTACTGGCCGAGTGGCCGTGGCTCGGCGACCAACCGCCCTTGGAACCCCGAGGCCGAGGGGGCGGGGCGAGTGGGGGAGGGGAGGCAGAAGCTACCAGAAGGGGCAATGGGCGGGCTCCAGGAGAGCCTCCTGGGAAGGGGCCTGGGAGATGGAGACACAGGTTCTTGAGAAGTTTATCTTCATGGTGTAGTGGGAAGCGCAAAGACCTACATTCATCTCTCCTCCCCTATAGCCCAAGAAGCTCCCAAATCCACTCTGCGCTCATGCCCATTCTCAGAAACAGCTTCTCAGGCACCTCAGCTGGAGGCTGGAGCCTTCCCGCAGGAGCAGGCCTGGGTGGGTACTCTTGCCTGCAGGATTGCCCTTGTCAATACCTGAGTTCTTTCTTAGGATTGCCTTTTACAGGGCCACGCAGTGAGGTGAGGGCGGCTCTTCTAGTCAGACAGTGGACCAACCCCCTTGTGGTCAAAGTGTCGCCCCTTTAACGCCAAAGTCCCTGTTTTTGTGTTCTCATGGTAAGCCTTGAGGAAACCATTCCCACTTTGGGTTCCGGTTTTATTTAAGTGTCTGTTACATATTCGGCACCTAAATAAAGGGCATTGGTTCTACTACCCATCAGACAGTCGAGGTGATAACAAAATGAGCATACATTATTTACTGTTCCAGAGAGTACTATGAAGTTGCTAAACTGATAGATTTTACTAATAGGAAGAAGCACGCGGGTGTGTGTGTGTGTGGGGGGGGGGTTAGGGGGATTTCAAGAAGAGCTGACAGACACCAGTCTTAAAGGAGGTGAGATTTTGAGTAGATCCTTGAAGCAAGGGTAGATTTGGACATTAAGAGTGAGGTCTGTGGAAGCAAAGTCTTGGGACAGTTTCATTTTCCTGGCTCTTACTATTTCGCATCTGATAACGTGTGTGTGTGTGTGTGTGTGTGTGTGTGTGTGTGTGTGCATCTGGAGTAGGAGGCGTTGAGCGGGCAGTGACAGCATTTTTGTGCCATCTTCACTAATATTTCTGTCCTTTAAGTTAGTCTTTCCTCTCTTTTCCTTTAATTGATGAGCCCAGAGAGGATATACAATACCTTATGATTGCAGACTTGGTGGAATTTAATAGGAAGTAGCCTCCCCACACTGCGGTCTTCCTGTACACAGTATAATAATACCCATTTGTATTGATCCAAAAAACCTTACAGTCTGCAAAGGGAAACTTCTTAGCTAAACACTGATCTCTAAGCCCAGCAAATGGTCTCATAGATGCCACTAATAACATATACATGCTAGTCATCAGGAACATTCAACACAAATTCCCAATACAGACCATTAAAACTCAAGAACTTCCCAAGCATAAACTTGTGTATATTTTAGCATTATCTTTGAAAATAAAAGATAGATTTTTCCCTCCAACAGCATAGTTTGTTTTATGAACACTTAAGTGAAAGGAATCAAAGTGAAGTAGAAAATGCCAGTTAATTGTAAAATTAACATGCGAAAGGTATCGTTGGTAAATAACTATATTTTGTATTCATTCTCCCTGTGTTTGAGAAAGGCATGATGTTGTATGCTACAAAATGTCGGTTAAATGTTCACAAATAAATAAAACTAGCAGAACTATCCTCCATCCCGCTAACAACATGAAGAGTTATAAATTTCATGAAGACGTCATTACAAAATAAGTTACTTTACATTTTGCTCAATTTTACTCTATGCTTACTGCTTCCACCTAGTTGATGTGACTTTTTTTTCCTGATTATCAGTTGCATCTTAAATATCTTACCTGAGTTTGATTGACGTCATCCAAAGCTGTAGTTGCATTAGATGTCTTGAAATTTAGACTGTAAAATTTTGCTTCAAAGATAACAAGTAAAATGATGATCAAAAATGTGTGTGCTCTAGTTCTGTTAGAAAAACAGCAGCAGGAAAGAATGATTGTTCCTAGGGTTGCTGTTGATTTGGCCTGCAGTTACTAGAGAAACTTCACGATCTCATTGCATCTGCGGGTCATGTCTGGGCATGTCCAGACACCAGGGAGACTCATGTTTTAATCTAAGTAAGAATGCTTGTGGTGGTTAAAATACCCAAACAGGAGTTTGCATTTGGTTAGACCAATCCAGGAAAGCTTCTAGAGGAGGAATTGTTTACTGTTTTAATTTCTGGGCTTGTGGTGATCAGGGAGATGGGGAAGGACCTTTGAGGAGATGGGGAGGTTATTGACTGTAAGGAAACCAAGAAGAGTATCAAAAACAAGAAGTTCCTACATTAGTCTGGCAAATTTATATTGGCTTAATTTACTACTCCTATATAGAGGGCTAGAGAGGAAGAGGTGACTTCCTCCTTTGGAATACACACAAACATACCATCTAAACATTTGCTATTGTTTGTTTGATTTTTAGGCAGGGACTCAGTTAGCTTAGGCTGGCTTTGAGCTCATGATCTTCTTGAAACCACCTCCCGATTGCCAGCTATTTCTACAGCTTTTGAAGGTTATTGGAGGGAGAAGTGAAGAATGACACTAATTAGAAAGTAATTGTCTTTTGCAGCTTCTTTTAAAACGTGTTTTTAAAATGCATAGTCTTTGCTAGGAAATAAAACCATGTTTTTTACATGTTTATGTAGACTAAGACTATCAAATGTCAGATGACCATAGTATATAGTTCATGATAGTATACTTAGGAAATAGTTTATAAAGTTGAAGCAAGGCTAGATTGAAGTCAATTTAGCCTTTGACAAACTACAAATCAATGAATCTGTTTAATTATGAGAGGAGATTTTCATCTGAGCTAACATGAACTGGCCAGCAGTTCCATGATTCTGGTTCCATCTCATTGGACTCCCATTAGGAAGAGCACTAGGTTCTTAATTTGCTTCTTGTTTATATCTATTGATTAATCAATAGTGTAGCTTTAACTATCAAATGTTAATTTATCTTTTAGGCAAATCAGAAACAATTTGACAAACTAGCTTCCTAATTAAGGTTGCTGGAGCTCTGTGACTCAGCAGCAGGAGCAATTCTTATATATTTCCCATCTCTAGGGAACACAGTCTCCAGAGATGTGGTCTAATTGGAGGGGTAGACTGTTTACATAGATAATTAAGAGAGTTAAATTATGTTAATAATATTAACACATCATAATGTTAATATAAAATTAATATTATATTAATGCATAGAATGCCTAGATAATACATTTATATTTCATAGGAATATATTGAGTGTCAAAGTGTAGATTAATAAGTGCTTAAGGAATCTTGAATTCTAGTGCTATCTCTGTTATTGTCAACATTTTGGGAAAATATAAGAAAAAGCACCAAAATATGGAACAAAGAGAGGGCTACATAGAAAAAATGATTGTTAACCCCAGTATTGTAAGAGGTAGGCCTGGAAGACTTGAAATATTAGTCTAGGGAGATTGAATATCATCATTCTTCTGGCTGGAAAGCCTCTGATGTATGCAAAGTGCATGTTGTTTTAATGGAGGCTAAAGTAGCATCGATTACAGAGGAGGCTGAGATTCAGTGGAGGAGACAATTTTTAAGAAATCTGGATATGGAATGATAGAGGAAATACGGGAGAAGTGAGGGATTTTGTGAAGGGGATTTCACAGGGTTTGGTGGCTGATTCACAATTTGTCAAATCAGCTACCAAAAATCAGTGATGAATTTGAGGAGCTGAGGGGAACACATAGTCAGAGGATGTTTATGATGAGTTTGAGTCTAAGCAAGCCTGAATTGAGTTAAGTATTTAAGCTGAAACTCTGGAAAGAGCTCAGAATTATAAAGAAGGATTAGCAGTTTTCTGAAACTGTGGATACTAAAGTCAGAGTTGAATGAAATCTCCAAGGGTGTGCTAGCTTATTCTTGCTTGTCATGGTTCACATAGGAAGGATGAAGTAGGTGGAATGCCATTCTTCTTCTTCTTCTTCTTCTTCTTCTTCTTCTTCTTCTTCTTCTTCTTCTTCTTCT